ATTTTCCTAGAATTGTCTGGAATAAATATAAGATTCTAGGCAATACATTCATCTTAATTGTAGATATTCTCCCAATCAATGATAATTGTAAATTTTCCCATTTTATCAAATCTGATGCAATCTGTTGTTTGAGTTTAAGATAATTATCCTCCTTAAGTGTGCTACATCTTGGTGTTAAATGTATCCTTAAATACTTAATCTTATTTGTGAGCTGGATCCCCCAAATTTCCTCCAATTCTTTCTTTCTTCTTGCTAATATATTCTTTGTTAAAATCTTTGTTTTATCTTTATTTATTTTCAGACGTGCTACTTTCCCATACTCTTCTATCTTTTCTATCAGTTTAGGTGCTGACTCCAGTGGGTCCTCTAATATGAATATCAGGTCATCTGCAAAAGTTTGCAATTCATACTCTTCTTTCTTAATTTTCATTCCTTTTATTTCTTTTTCTTCTCTAATGTTCCTATTCAGCACTTCCAGTGTTAACACAAACAACAGAGGCGACAGTGGACAGCCTTATCAAGTCCCTTTTCTTATATCTATAGAGTCTGTTAACTCTCCATTTATCATAACTTTTGCAGTTTGTTTACAATATATCGTTTCTATGGCTTGGGTATTTTTTTTACCAAAGCACATTTGTTCTAATTGTAACAACATAAAACGCCAACTCACATTATCAAAGGCTTTTTGTGCATCTAGAAACATCAAAGCCATTTGTTTTTCAGGATGTGCCTCATAATATTCCAGTGTGTCTAAAATTATTCTCATATTGTCTTTAATTTGTCTCTTCAGCAGAAATCCATTTTGATCAGAATGGATAAAATTATTTAAGTATCCTTTCAGTCTTTCTGCCAGAATTAAAGCAAATTTTTTATAATCTGAGTTTAATAGGGATATAGGTCTGTAGTTTTTAACTTGCTGTGGGTCTGTGTAGGAGGACACTTTTTGAAAGAGGACAGAACTTACAAAAGAAGGACTGTCCTCACTAAAGGAGGACAGTTCGTCACCTTACATACAGCAAAGGTCTGCAAATAGTTTCAGAAGCTGTGTTTTGAAGCAGCCTGCATGCCAAAAACTGGGAGGGGGTGGCAGACCTGCAATCAGTTCATTGTTGAAGAAGCAGCCATTTTGGAATTTATTTTTCAAATGGACAATAAGTTTTATTTCTTAATCATTTTTAAGGACTAATAATTTTTATTAAGCTAAAAGAAGTTCTCTTTAGCCACAGCCTCTTATTCCGTTTTGAAAATCTGAGCCATGAAAACAAGCTGGAAGGAGTGACTTAAACTTAATGAGTCAATTGGAATTAGGATGGATTTTTATTAATGTGATATTTGTAATTGAAAGAAAGTCTTAATCTAAACTTTGAAATTGCATTTTTTCCTTTATATATAATGTTTAAGTAATTTCTAAAGTTTGTAAAATATTATTGAAAGTGTATTTGGAAGTATCTTTTTTTATAAAAGTTTTTATTTTTTAAGACAAACATACAAACAAAACATAAAAACATAAAACCATCTTCCATTTTATATACATACAGTGTGTCAGTTGGTTACAAATCTTTTGTGCTATCCTTTCGTAGTCATTATTCACAGTTTACATAAATATTCCCATTGTCAAATTAACATATGCTTATATATTTATCAGTTATTAATCATCCATGATTAAACTATTTATTCCATCATTTTATACAAGCTATTCCAAATTTTATTTTGCAATTTATACTGTACTTTCATCCAATGGTTATATATGTCTATATTATATTTTATATCAATCTATTGAACTTATATTACAAAATTATCTAATCTATTACACTACCATGTCTTTTTGTCCAACCATTGATAAAACAAATCCCATATCATATAAAATTGTTCATCTTCTTGCTCTCTAATTTCAAATGTCAATTTACTCATTTCAGCAGTCCATAATTTTCTTAATAACTTCCTCCTGCATAGGTATTTTTTTCATTTTTCCAATTCTTAGCAAATACAATTCTAGCCACTGTTAAGACATTTACAATCAAATATTTCAACTCTTCGTTGTAGATTTCCAGTATAATTCCCAATAAAAAGATCTCTAGTTTAAAGTCTATGTGTTGTTTTATCATTTTTTTCCAACCATGTATGGATTTTAGTCCAATATATTTTTTGCATCTGAGCATGTCCACCACATATGGTAATATGAACCAGGTATCTGATGACATTTCCAACATTTATCCAATTTGTTCTTAAACATTCTCGTGATTCTCGTTGGGGATAGATGCCACCTGTGAAACATCTTATACAAATTTTCTTTATATGCTGTTGACATTGTCATTTTATAATTTTGAGACCACAGTTTTTACCATTTCTCTAAATCAATCCCATATCCAAAAATTTTCCCGCAAGCAATCATCATTTCTTTAACTTGTTCTTCCTCCAACTTAAATTCCATAGAGTTTTTTAATTACCTTTTCATCAGTACCCATCAGAATTTTATCTAAATCAGTCAACTTATCATAAATACTTTCTGTTTTAAAATCTTTATCAAATCTAGGTTGTATTTGCAAATATGAAAACCAATTCATTTTTACACCTTGTTCTTCCAACGCTTGCATAGATTTAAGTTCACCCTTTTCATTCAATATCTCACCATATCTAACTGTTTGTTCCTTTTTATATATTATTGGATAACAAAAAGTTTCGATAGTAGATAACCATAATGGAATTTTTAAATAATATTGCTTTTTTATCTTCTCCTAGTTCAAAAACAGTGCCTCTCTAATGTAATGTCTTCTAAAATACCCCTGTGTTTTAGTTCCCTTATACCAGAGGAAAGCATGCCATCCCAGCAGCAAGTCATGCCCTTCTAAATTGAATAGTCTAATCTTCCTTAATATTATCCATTCCTTTAGCCATATCAGGTTTGTCGTCTGGTAATGTAACTCCCAGATGGGCAAGGCAAATCCTCCTCTTGTTCTCACATCTTGTAACAGTTTAAGTTTTATTCTCACTTTCTTACCCTGCCAAATATATTTCAGCACAATTCCATTTAGGTCTTCAAAAAACTCTTTCCCTCGTCAAATTGGAATTGTCTGGAATAGATATAAAATTCTAGGCAATACATTCTCTTAATTGTAGATATTCTCCCAATCAATGATAATTGTAAGTTTTCCCATTTTGTCAAATCTGTCGCAATCTGTTGTTTGAGTTTAAGATAGTTATCCTCCTTCAGTGTGCTACAACTTGGTGTAATGTATATCCCTAAATACTTAACCTTATTTGTGACCTGTATTTCTAAAACTTCTTCCAACTCTTTCTTTCATCTTGCTAACATATTCTTTGTTTTATCTTTATTTATTTTCAAACCTGCTACTTTTTCATATTCGAAAGTATCTTTGTTAAGATAAAAGATGTATTAGTTTTTAAAAAGTTTAGAGTTTTAAAAATATATATACAAGAAGTAAACATTATTCTAGGAGGCTAATTTGGAGGGAGTTTAATGAGTTAGTTGGAGTTATTTGGAATTTTATTGGTCTGAAAGAAAACTGTAAAGTGTGTATGTTAGAGGAAGTTTTTAAAAAGATGCATTAGAATGTTTTGATTTTAAAAATGTTTTTGAAGAGAAGTTTAGTGTTTTAAAATAGATGAAAAATATTTTTCCATTTAAGAATAGGGTGAATTTTGTTAATATAAATGATGATAGTTTAGAAAGATGTGAGTGCAAATAGAAATACATACTATTCCCATAGCAGGAAAGATAAAGCAGAAATGATTAGATTGTTTTATTCAAAGAGGATAATATATTTAATTATGTTTTTTATTTGGATATCACTTCTGGATTTTGGGCTTGTGATAAAAAAAAAGAAATTTTATTATTGCCGATTAGATAGATTTGTGTTATAGAAATGGCTGGTTATATACTAATGTGTAAAAGTAAAAAAATTGAGCTGTAATATTGTTATCTCGTACTGAGCTAAAAAGAGTCAGAAGTCAACACTTTTTTCTTTCGTTCCTTGTATCTCATATTTTCTCTTTCCTTCCCTTAATTTCCTATTTTTATTTTCCATTGTATTTTATACATTGATAAAACAATAAAAATCATGAGATAAAAAATACTCAAGTAAAATACTAGAAATTATAGCAGAACTTTTAAGAGACTTAATAGCCACTTCTCTCGAATGATATAACATGTCCTGCTTGAGTGGGAATTGGACTAGAATTAGATGACCTCCAAGTTCTCTTCCAATTCTGTTGTTGTGTTATACTGTTAACTCTTCTGCATGCTTTATATTTTAATTCATGAATGCATGCACTTTTATGGTAGTAGGCCACCAACAAATATGTGATGAGAAGCACCACAAAACCTGAAGATCAATTTGGCTTTGTCAAAATGACAAACAAACAGTTTGCCTTCCAACTGCTAAGAAAAGAAGAGTTTATGATATTAAGAATTATTGAGAGGCAATTAAAGGAGGCTAAGTTGTTCATGGTTCTTCAAAACAAGCCGTTCAATGATCTAAGTTAGGGCAATCTAGCATCATTTCCACTGCTTTTAATGGCATCAATTGTTGCTTCCTTTTAGATTCTCAGGCAAAGGTAAAATGAGCTTTCTTAAAAAAACATTTTTTAAAAATATTTAAATGCATACTGCAGTACACTTTCTATTGAAAGTTAACATTACCTGCATACTACAGCTAATTGCCTCTTTAAAAAAATAGGTGTGTTTGTGACCTTTAAAAATGTAATGGTTTCAAACAATCCATAATCCATCATTATCTCTTCAGTCTCCTTCTCTGTCATTGACCCATTGTTAGCTGTGAGTGGGGCATTCATGGCACAATACATCAACTTCTTATGCACCTGCCATGTTCTATCATGAATTATATTAATTCACGTAAAGCTAACAAAGATTAATTGCAGTAGTACAGCAGATTGGCACAGGAGGTTTTGCTGCTTGGCAATCTCAGAATGCAGGGATTCATTCAACCTTGCTTTTTTGTCTCTGTTTCATATTTCAACAGGTGTGTGCCCAATCATTGTGAGCATGGTGGGAAATGTACCCAAACATGGGATAGCTTCAGTTGCACCTGTGATGGAACTGGATACAGTGGAGCCACATGCCATAACTGTAAGTGGGCCTTCATGCTGCTACCCATAATTATCTTTGTTAAATGAATTAATGATATTGATAACAGATAAGAGTTTGTTTATGCTTGTTGTCAAAAATATTTTTTTTACAAATAATAATAATATTGATAACAGATAACAGATAATCAGAGTTGGAAGGGACCTTGTAGGCCATCTAGTTGAACCCCCTGTCCTAGCAGAAGACCCTACACTATTTCTGACAGATGGAAATCCAATCTCTTCTTGAAGGTTTCAAGTGATGGCGCTCCCACAACTTCCATGGGCAAGCTGTTCCATTGGTTGATTGTTCTCACTGTCAGAAAGTTTCTCCTCATTTCCAGATTAAATCTCTCCTTGTTCAGTTTCCATCCATTATTCCTTGTCTGGCCTACAGGTGCTTTACAAAATAGCTTGACCCTTCCTCTCTGTGGTAGCCCCTCCAATACTGGAACACTGCTATCATATCTTCCCTGGTCCTTCTCTTCACTAGGCTGGCCATACCCAGTTCCTGCAACCATTCATCATATGTTTTACCTCCAGTCCCCTAATCACCTTGGTTGCTGTTCTCTGTACTTTTTCTAGAGTCTCAACATCTTTTTATAATGTGGTGACCAAACCTGGATGCAGTACTCTAGGTGTGGTCTTACTAAGGCTTTATAGAGTGGTATTAGTACCTCACTTGATCTTGATTGAATCCCTTTTTAATGCAATTTAGGATTGCATTAGCTTTTTGGCTACTGCTTTTGCACACTGCTGGTCTGGTCTTCTATGATCGTACTTTTCAGAGTTTCCAAGATTCTTGAGTTGTTTTTCCCTTTAGGATTTTCATCCATGGAATCTTTCCCAAGTTGTCTCTCAGTTTATTAAAATCAGGTGTTTTAAAATCTAAGACTCTGGTGTCATTATGTTCTATTGCTTGCGTTTGTGTTAAGTTGAATTCTAGTTTTACATGGTTGCTCTTACCCAAGGTTCCTTCAGTTTCAATCCCCTCTTACTACTTCTTCTTTGTAAGAATTAAGTCCAGTATGGCTGTCCCTCTAGTTCCATCCTCTACCTTTTGGACAACAAAGTTGTCAGCTAGGTTGGTTAGGAAGCTATTTGATTTCTCACTTGGTGCAGAATTAGTTAGTGTGTTTCCTGCATATGTTTGTTGGTTGGTTGGCAAAAAGGTAATCTATTTTTTTCTGCTTGGTTGGGTGGCCTATAATATACATCTATGTCATTCTTTTTTTCTTTTATATTGACCTATATGGATTTTACAAGGTTTTCATCTTTGGTTTCATGCATTTCTGTAGCAATATAAAGTGGTCCTTTACATATAATGCAACTCCACCACCTCTTTTATGGGATCTGGGTAATTTTTCTAATATTTTCTTGGAATACAGCTGTTATCACTGGCATGAAAAAAAACAATTTTTTAATTTGAACAAAAATGTTTTCTGGAAAAAAATTTGAATTGCATAAACATCTGCAGAACTGGAAACTTTTTTTCTATTTCCCAAAGCTGAATCATGATTCAGAAATGAACCATGCATATTTTAAAAATAGCATTGGAACATTTTATTATGATTAATGCATTATTTCTATGAATTAGGCTTATTTTTTCTTCTGCTTCTTTGCACCATTTGCACATTTAATCGGTCAATGATTTTTTCTCAATTCTGACCTTGACTGCGTTGGTTTGAATAGCTATTTGTTAACCAGCCTAACTCAAGCCTACAGTTTCTGTTTATAACATTCCAGGTGTAAGTCATTGCCAGGTTAAATCCACTTCCTTCTTGATATTTTATAAATATTCATCTTGTAATGCTTTTACTTGTCAGCATTCTGTTCAAAATTATAACATTATTTCAACATTCATGTTTTGTGTCTTATATAGTTCTCATTTTTAAGTTTTATCAATACTTGTTCTTGGCTGTCTTGTACACAATTAGCCAATTCATGCTTTTATGCAAGCCATCATTCCTGAGTCTCATTGCCCACTTGTGACGGATGTCCAAGGACCTGACATGGTCCTTGTTGAATACAGAATTACAATTATGAATACAGAATGTAATGATGAATACAGAATTACAATTCTTTTTCTGTGCTCTACTATAGAAAATGGGTTCACATAGAACCCTGTGTGGCATGGGTTATCCTTTGGGTAGAATACACCACTGCCAGTGTAGCTCTCAATCTCATTAGAACATCACAAGTCCTTCCACCATGACAATTAAATAGCAGCATTTGGATAAACAGAATGTTACTCTACCCTCCTCCTTCTGAGCCTTTAAGCCTGACGAAACCTATCAGGCCATGTTATAAGTGTAAAATCCAGATTTCCCCCCCCAAAACGGATTATGAAATCTCCCAGGGAAAAAAAAGTCAGCATTTCATATTTCAATTCAATATAGCTACATTTTAATTCTAATACTATGGTACCTCAAATAAGATAAGGAAAGCCTTCAGAGCATGACCTCTAGAAATCTATTCTTTAGCATCAGTGACCACAGGATCTATGATTTTTTGAGTACTTACGTTACATCTATGTGTATGACTGCTTTTTCCTCAGATTGTGGCCTTTTGTATCTGTGGGTGTGCAGTCTACTGATGATATCTTGCATCAAATAAGTGGATGACCTTCCCCAATCATCTTATATAGATGTTAAATAACTTGGAGGAAAATAACAAGTTTTGTGAAATTTCACATTGGAGATCATCTTAAATAGATGTTAAATAACTTGGAGAAAAATAACAAGTTTTGTGAAATTTCACATTGGAGAATCCATAGGCTCAGTTGCTACTGAATGGAATCATCCAAGTTCTCATGAAGATTATTGACCAGGGTGTCTGATATAAGAGCCTCAGTGGCACAGTGGTTAGAGTGCAGTACTGCAAGCTACTTCTGCTGTAGCCAGCTGCCTGCAATTTGGCAGATCGAATCTTACCAGGCTCAAGATTGACTCAGCCTTCCATCCTTCTGAGGTGGGTAAAATGAGGACCCAGATTGTTGGGGGCAATATGCTGACTCTGTAACCCACTTAGAGAGGGCTGTAAAGTATTATATAGTGGTATACAATTCTAAGTGCTATTGCTATTACTATTATTTCTCTTGCCTGGGCCTGAATCCTACATGAAATGCATCTAGATGTCCAGACTTGGAAGGGATCTTGGATTCATAGAAATAATGCATTAATCATAATAAGTCCAACCCCCTGCTCAATCCAACCCCCTTCTAGTCCAACCCCCTGCTCAATCAGGAAACCCTATACATTCAGGCAAATGGCTGTCCATTCTTTTCTTAAAGCCCCCAGTGAAGGAACACCCACAACATCTGAAGGCAAGTTGTTCCACTGGTTAATTGTATTCACTGTCAGAAAATTTCTCCCTAGTTCCAGACTGCATCTGTCCTTGATTAGTTTCTATCCATTGCTTCTGGTCTTTCCTTCTGGTACTTTGGAAAACAGGCAGTTTAAGTAACAAAGCAGAAGTTCCATGTGAGCATATTGAAGCATTACTGTCTTTTATATTCTGAACTAGTTAAAACTTCCAAGTACATATATCGTGTATTGCATTAGCCAAGCCATGAGATGACAGAAGAGACTTCTGATCCAAAAAGGGATGTAAATGGCACATTATAATTCTGTGGCTACCTCACCTCATTCTGATTTCTTCTCCAATCATCCTAATCTTCTAGTCTGGCATGAAAGGCTGCTAAACAATTACATTGGATCTGATCCAATCATATCATCCACAAGGATAGTAAACACTAGACTGAATTAGCCCACTCCCTGATAGTCTCTTCTGCTGTTGATAAAATTTCCATCAACATAACACATTTGAGTGCTAAGGAAGAAGTCAGAGAAATCATGACAAATCCTAGTGATTTTTGTTGTTTTTTCTTCAGTAAATAAGGCTGATACCCATATTTGTAGATTACAAAAATATATAGATTAGGAAGGGAGGGATGGATGGATGGATGCATGCATGCATGGATGCATGCATGGATGCATGCATGGATGGATAGGTGGATGGACAGGCAGACGGACAGGCAGACAAACAGATAAACGATAGAGATAAATACATTCACATTGCAAATGTTAAATGTATTTAATTCATAAATTACAACTTTATATGATTGATCTTAACAAGAATTGCTTTTAGAAGATGAAATAAGATCATACAATGCATTTCTCAATTTTGTTCTAAATATGATTTGAACAAACATTTCAAGCTTTGTTTTTGAATGTGATTAAAAAAACAAATAAGACTAGAATGCATTGATTCATTCTTCTAATGTCAGCTCCATTTAGTGCCCTAGGAGCTTAATGAGCTTTGATAATTTTTTCTCCTAAATTGCATTTTTTTACTATTAAAAATGTTCTGGGTTGTTTTAATAATGCATTTATAACATCAAAAGTACTTTTAGGAAGAAAGAATTTGAGTCACATCTTCTTTTCATTACATATTATCATTAGTGTGGATAATAAGCTAATTGTTATACTTGGAAAAAATATTTCCAGATTTACTAATCAAGAAAACCCAAAATGTATAAATAATATAATATGTAATTTGCATGCTATGGGTACTTTGACTTCAGCAGATGCATTTGGTTAGTTTAACTACTGTGGTCCTACTCTTTTATATTTACTGAAACTATTATTTGAGAAAATAGAAACTTTGTGATGAATTTTAAATCTTCACTAAATAAAATTATGTAGATTATCTTTCTCTAGAACAGGGGTCGCCAACCTTTTGGACCTCAGGGACCACCAAACTCATAAATTTAGATCCCAGGGACCACTAACCAGTTCTGTGGGTGTGGTCTAATTTGTGGGTGTGGCTTGGTGGTCATGTGACTGGCTGGGCATGGCTTGTATGTAAATATTATAAATATTTATATAAATATTGAAATTTTTATAAAAAAAGAGCAACTTTTACCCGATATCAGGCGAAGCAGGTAGATTGAGTTGCTCACAGAATCACAGATTCATTCAGAGATCCATCTATCTGCCATTG